AACTTATATTTTATTGAAAATATTTTGTATACAAAGATATTATACCAAATAGAAATGAGAAAAAAGAACCTGCCCTTTCCTAAGGGATCTGTGGCATGCCCTATTAAACTTGAAACCTCAGGGCCTCACCAAATACCAATTTAAAATGACTACTTAAGTGTCACTGGTGGCAAAACAAACCATAGTGAAGGCTTGGAAACAACAGTTCATATCTTTTACAGAAGTTTAAGGGGTGTATTTACCACAAGGCAAACAAGGCATTTGCCTAGGGCGGCATTTTTCAGGGGGGGCAGCCCCTCAGAAGAAAGGACAGACGAAGGGACACAAATGGCATGGGGTCCAGGTAGGATCCAAGAGAGGCTGCTTGATGGTGTATGTAGAGCCCGACTCTCATTCCCAGGGATGTCTGGAGTTGTGAAGGTGAGTGTCTTTCTCTCTCTCTCTGGTTGTGGGGGTGGGATGTGTATTAGTGGAAGGCTACCTCAAGTGGGGGGCCGTGGTGTTGTTGGTAAATGTCCAGCTCTCTCCTCAGGGGGGCATCCAATTCTTGTGTTGCCTATGGCAGCACAAAACCTAAATACACCACTGGAAAGTTGCTGCTGGTTATACTTTTTCTTCACCAATGAAAAGCTTTCAAACATTCTTTTGGCTACGCGTGGCAAATTTTTTAAAATATGGACCCCATGGATCCAACATGCCTACCCTACCATGCTGACCGCTAGCTACACGTCGTTATAAGTACTGAGATCCTGGGGTTTGGGGAGCTCTTGATGTCCTCCCGCACTTCTTTCTCTTTTATTTCCCCTCTCGTTATTTTTCTGGGTTCTTTTTCTGGGATGATCTAGGAATTGAGATCTTTTCCGATGTATTTTTCTGTGAAGTATTCACAGCGACATCTCATCCATCCACTCCAACTTTCGTGATACAGGTGTATGGTTCTTCTCTTGTTATTCATACCGTTCCTATGTTAAAATGTTTCAATGTACCTTTGATATGACAAATGTTTTGTTACTTGTTATAGTCCGTGTATGTGATGTACTACCGCTCTTGACTCACGTCTTTGACTTTGTACTCTTATCACTACACATGACAGCGGTACCAAATATATATCTTACACAATTTATTTCATTGGAACAGACTAGAACAAATATAGCTGCATTCCAAAATTCCAATATCAAAATTCCAATTTAGAACTTCGGAAGATGGTTAAGTTCCTACTCTTCTATTTTATTCTATTCTATTATTTTCTATTTTATTTGATTTTATTTGTTCTATTCCATTCTAATCTATTCCTTTCTTTTCTATTCCTTTATTTTCCATTCTATTCTTTTTTTATTCTATTCTATGCTGTTTTATTCTTTTCTATTCCATTATTTTTCATTCTATTCTGTTTTCTTCTATTCTATTCCTTTATTTTTTTCTATTCTACTCTATTCTATTGCATTCTAATCTGTTATATTCTATTCTAGATGTTTTTCTATTCTCTTCTATAAAGCAGCCTAAGTAGGAATCATCATCTTATTTCACTTTTATACCTTATTGTATATCTGTATTAATTGCAGCATGTTTCCATTTAGATTTCAAATTAATTTTCTAACTCAAATTCAAATTCATTTTCACATTCGATTTCAACTTCATTTTCAGATTCAAATTCATTTTGAATCGATTTTAAAGAAAAACTAATATGCAAATGAATCTGAACATATGAAAAGAATACTGAAAACGAATCATTCTAACATAACAAATAAATTGACTAAACACAATTATTAATTAAACAAATTAATCTGAGACAAAACAAAATATATTTTTTCCATCGTGCCTATCTCTATCGAAAAGTTGGTCGTGAAATTGTTCCAGAGAGCGTAGAGGTCAAGAGAGGATGCAAGAGAGGGGAAGCCATGGTAGAGGTTGCTGACTGCCTCTGGGAGAACTTTGGCTCCTTAGAAGAATCTGAACAGGAGGTAGCTACATCAGAACCAGAGGAGCTGCTTTCTGCTGCTGTATGTGGAAAAGGAACGTGCTCCATAGTTTCCTCCATGCCATCTGGTGGCTCCAGAGAAGACATCAGAGAGGGGAAGCCATGGGAGAGGTTGCTGGTCACTTCCTGGAGAACTTTGGCTCCTTTAAAGACTCTGAAGAGAAGGTAGCGACATCAGAACCAGAAGAGCTGCTTTCTGCTGCTGTCTGTGGAAAAGGAACGTGCTCTATAGTGTCCTCTATGCCATCTCGCTGTTCTTTCCTGAGGGCTCCAGAGAAGACGTCAGAGTCAGAGAGGGGAAGCCATGGGAGAGGTTGCTGGTCGTTTCTGGAGAACTTTGGCTCCTTAGAAGAATCTGAAGAGAAGGTCAGAACATCAGAACTAGAGGAGCTGCTTTCTGCTGCTGTGTGTGGAGAAGAAACGTGCTCCATAGTGTCCTCTATGCCATCTCACTGTTCTTTCCTGGTGGCTCCAGAGAAGACATCAGAGTCAGAGAGGGGAAGCCATGAGAGTGGTTGTTGGTCGTTTGTGGGAGAATTTTGGCTCTAAGAAGAATCTGAAGAGAAGGTAGCTACATCAGAACTAGAGGAGCTGCTTTCTGCTGCTGAGTGTGGAGAAGGAACTTGCTTCATAGTGTCCTCTATGCCATCTTGCTGTTCTTTCCTGGTGGCTCCAGAGAAGACGTCAGAGTCAGAGAGGGGAAGCCATGGGAGAGGTTGCTGGTCGTTTCTGGGAGAACTTTGGCTCCTTAGAAGAATCTGAAGAGAAGGTAGCTACATCAGAACTAGAGGAGCTGCTTTCTGCTGCTGAGTGTGGAGAAGGAACTTGCTCCATAGTGTCCTCTATGCCATCTTGCTGTTCTTTCCTGGTGGCTCCAGAGAAGACATCAGAGTCAGAAAGGGGAAGCCATGGGAGAGGTTGCTGGTTTCTTCTGGGAGAACTTTGGCTCTTTAAAAAAATCTGAAGAGAAAGAAGCTACATCAGAAGGGGAGAAGGAACGTGATCCATAGTGTAATCTAAGCCATCTCGCTGTTCATTTCCTGGTGGCTCCAGAGAAGCCTTTTAGGCTGTATCAGGCCGGTTGAGCAGTGGGCTGCCCTTTGTCACCATTAGCTGTGCTGCCAATGAGAGCTGAGAAGGCTCTCTGGTCATTGGATGCTGCTGATCCCCATTGGAGCATAGTTTAGGTGGCCATGCAAGTCCCCGGCCAGACCACGCCCCCAGTTATAAAAAAGTGCTTTCAATCGTATAATTACAAGCCAAAAGAGCAAGTTCATTTTTAAGGTTTTACATTTCCCCCATGGTAAAAAAAAACTTTTGAATGCCTGTTATTCTATACCGTGCTGAGATCAGACATACCTGGTGATATGAGGACACAAAGCAGGCAGAGAAAGCTCAGCAGACCGTCCATCCTCCACCCAACCTGTGCTGGGCCGATGTCACCTCCGTCACTGTTGCTGAATGTCACTGCCAAACCTACTTTCTATGAATTGGTGTGGGTGTCAACATCAGGAACGGTATGAGGAAACGGAGATCTCATCATTGCTGTTAAAGTCATAGATCTGTGCTGAGAAGTAAGCAAAAAAACCCACAAACTGCAAAAGACTAAAACTGCAAGTTTCATTTAATAGTTAATGAGAAAGACCTTTAATGAACAAAATCAAAGGCAGAAGAATGGAAAACGCTTTTTTTTTTTTAATAACACTGTAGAGGCATTGACCCTGATTTATCACGTTGCATTTAAAACGACATGACTGGTACACTGTTCACTTCTCCTTGAGATTGACTAAAATAACCACAACTGAGGAGCCAATTCAACCCCCAGCCATCCAGGTTAGGCTCAGGGGCTTACTTGGGCCTCCGGATACCAATTCCACCACCTCTACCAGTCACTTGCCACCTCGACCCGGAAGGAATAAAAACGCCAGCTGTGATAAAAAATACCGCGTGACAACAAATATACATGACTGTAATCAATAATAAGAAGTTGTCTCTTAATTAATTATTTTGTAAATATTTATTCATTGTCCTTTAAGAAAAAAATACACTTTTTTTTAACTTATGTATGTATTCTTTTTTTATTTTTTTTTTTTAATTATTTATTTATGTATTTATTTATTTACAAAGCCAAAAGCCATAACAACAAAACCCAGGAACAAAAACTTGGACAGGGAGGTTGGGGACTTCTTTTGTCGTGGAAGGGCGGGACTTAACGTGATGCAGGAGTCCCCTCCTATTTTTCTTCCACCTATCAATTATCTGCCGCCACAATCCAAATCACGCCCCTTCACCATCCTGTCCTTCTGCCATCACTTAACCCCTTTATTACCCTACAGACTAGTCCGAAGGGACCGTCCCCAGTTATGATGCCTGCTGTGTTTATAACACAGGGCATTGTTTTAAACTGTTCATTTTTTTTATTTTTTTTTACTAAAATAACAAACTTGCTTTACTTACCTGCTCTGTGCAATGGTATTACACAGAGCAGCCTGGATCTTCCTCTTCTGGGGTCCCCCGCAGGTGGTCCAGGCTTCTCCTCTTTAGTGGGTACCCCCATGGAAAGCCCTTTTTCAAAGGGGCACCTGTGAGGGCTCAATCCTGAGCCGTCTTATCTGCATCAATTGACATAGAGAAGACGGCTCAGCCCCGCCTCCAGCTGGTTTGGAACAGCATTTTAAAGACAGCAGTGGGAGCCAAAAACTGTAGCTGCTGACTTTTTAAATACAGCCACTTACCTGTCCCTTGGTCCTCATCACCGCTGGTTTCACCGGCCCTCTTCTCTCCCTGGCGCTGGCATCTTCAGTGTAAGGACACTTCACAGCGGGGTGCCCACTGCGCATGCGCATATAGCGCTGCTCTTTGTGAATGGCCCCATAGTCTTTTGAGACCTGTCACATGTCCCAGAAGACTATGGGGAGAGAGGGGTATCTTCCAAACATCTGCTTTCAATCGCCTTAGACGATCACAGCGGAAGTGGGAGCGGGAACCTGTCAAATTCAGGTACCTGCTCCCCAAAGGTGCCAATCCTTAACCACCTCCCGTCCAGCCGTTGTATATAAACGGCCGGACGGTGGCAGTGCAGGGTTGGGTGGCCATTTATAAATGGTCTCCCTGCCTCCTGCTTGTGCGTGCTCCCTGGACTCAGCGGAACACCGATCATTGTACGGGACCTCTGTGCGAGGTCCCGATCATGTGATCACTGCTTGGCCAGTGATCACATGCAGAGTAGTAAGCAAGATGTCACTCCTGACCTCATTGCTTGCTACGTGTGAAATCTGTGAATGATCACAGAGATCACATGGTACAGGGCTATTCACAACAGCCTTGTACCATGTGACAAGCTGTGACCAATCACAGCTCACACAGTAGTTCTCAATGGCTGCAAGAATGCAGACAGAGAGAAAGAGAAATTATTGCTTTTACAGCCTTTGTTGGTGTAAAAGCAATCAGTGTAAAAAAAAAAAAAAAAACTTTATCACCCCCCACAAGTAGTACAGTGTCACCATGGTGACACTGTACTGCTAGGGTATCAGTATGTAAAAAAAACATAAATAATAAAAAAAATAAAATTAAAATTAAAAAAAAGTTTAAAAATTATAATTGTTTGGTTATATTTTTTTTTACTAAAAAGATAACGGAATACATTTTGGCCAAGATTTATGATGAAATATTATTTATTTGCAAAATTTTATAAGACAAAACACTTTTTTTCATTTACATAGCAAAAAAAAAAAATAAAAATAAACACCACCAAAATAAAGCTTTATCTGTTTAAAAAAAAAAAACAGTAAGGGAGTACCTCCTTGACGCGTTTCCTGTACAGGAAACGTTATCAAAGGGAGTGTGCAGAGAAAAACAGACAGAAATATCGTTCGGCGCATGCGCCATGAGCGCGATCATGCGCAGTGCGTGCGTGGCGGCCATTTTTCGTAGTGGTAGAGACAATGGAACACAGTTGCATAATAAGCCAACCTGCCATTTTACCGGTGGCCACTTAATGCCTGAATGGCACTTAGGTCACCAGGAAGATTGAACAGGGGAAGAAGTGGTTAATGAGGAGCTGGGGACAAAGGCTTAAAGCGGAACTTCCCCGTTTGGGTGGAGCTCTGCTTTAAGCTCCTCTTTAAGTTGCACTCCAGAAATGTAGAATTTCTAGTGTGAGAACAGTTCTGGTTTTCTCCACGTCAGAAGAAGAAAAACAGGTTTGTAACTCAAAAAGCCAACTTTTGCTATGTAAATATAAAAACTAATTTTTCTTGCAAACATTTAAACATTTTCAAGTTGACATCTAGCTGGTCTTGTTGCTTTGTCTCTTTGTTTGCGTCGCTCTAGGGAGTGATCAGTAATGACAGCTAAGACTCACTCCACTTTTTTTTCTATACAATTGTACCCAGCGGCGGACTGACCATTTGGAAACTCGGGCACTGCCCGAGGGCCGGGGTCAGTAGGGGGCCCCATGAGTACCTTTTTCATAGGCTTTTTTGAGTTTGGGCAAGGACACAGGGGACCCATGATCCCCTATTGCCCGGGGGCCCCATGAGTTGTCAGTCCGCTCCTGATTGTACCATCATGAGTTACGGGTATTTAACTGATGTTCTCTTGGGACTTGGCCTCCAGAGGACATACCCCCCTTCCTGACCAGGCCATTTTTTTGTGATACAGCGCTGTGTTACTTTAACAGACAATTCCGCGGTCATGCAATACTGCACCCAATTTTTTTTCCCACAAATAGAGCTTTCCTTCGGCGGTATTTGATTGCCTCTGCGGTTTTTATTTTTTACGCTATAAAAAAAGCGAAAATTTTGAGAAAAAAGTATATATTTTAGACTTTTTGCTATTAAACATGTCCAGTAAAAAGATTTAAAAAATCAACTTTCATCATAAATTTTGGCCAAAATTTATTCTGCTCCATGTCTTTGCTAAAAAAAAAATCCCAATATGTGTAAATTAACCCCTTGCTCTCCTAGGATTCCTCCCCCCTTCCTGACCAGGCCATTTTTTTTTCAATACAGCGCTGCATTACTTTAACTGATAATTGTGTGGTCATGCAATGCTGCACCAAAATTTTTTTCCCACAAACAGAGATTTCTTTCAGTGGTATTTGATCGCTTCTGCGGTTTTTGTTTTTTATGCTATAAAAAGAGCGACAATTTTGAGGAAAAAAAACAATATTTTGAACTTAAACATGTCCAGTAAAAAGATTTAAAAAATCAAATGTCGTCAAAAATTTAGGCCAAAATATATTCTGCAACATGTCTTTGCTAAAAAAAAAAAAATCCCAATACATGTAAATTAACCCCTCGCCGTCTTGAGGATTTCCTCCCTTCATGACCAGGCCATTTTTTGCGTTACGGTGCTGCGTTGATTTAACTGACAATTGCGCGGTCATGCAACGCTGCACCCAAATGAAATTTCCGTCCTTTTTTTTCCCATGAATTGAGATTTTTTTTGGTGGTATGTGATCACCTGTGCGGTTTTTTTATTTTTTGCGCTATAAGCAAAAAAAAAGACCAACAATTTTAAGAAGAAAACAGTATTTTGGGCTTTTTGCTATTAAACATGTCCATAAAAAGATTTAAAAAAAATCACTTTCAGCATAAATTTAGGCCAAATGTATATTTGCTCCATGTATTTGCTAAAAAAGAAATCCCAATACGTGTAAATTAACCCCTCGTCCTCTTAAGGATTTACCCCCCTTCATGACCAGGCCATTTTTTGCGTTACAGTGCTCTGTTAATTTAGCTGACAATTGCGTAGTCATGCAACGCTACACCCAAAAGAAATTTATGTCCTTTTTTTCCCACAAATGGAACTTTCTTTTGGTGGTATTTGATCCCTTGTGCATTTTTTATTTTTTGTGCTATAAGCAAAAAAAGATCAACAATTTTGAGACTTTTTGCTATTAAACATGTCAATAAAAAAATTAAAAAAATCAACTTTTGTCATAAATTTAGGCCAAAATGTATTCTGCTCTGTGTCTTCACTAAAAAATCCCAATATATGTAAATTAACTGGTTTATGTGAAAGTTATAGCGTTTACAAATGGCGGGTATAGATAATTGGATTTTTTTCTCTACTAGCGGCGATCAGCAACTTTTAGCGGGACTGCGGCAGACATTCTGACACCGGGGGGGGGGGGGGGGGGATTAACTTGGTGTCACTGACATCCCCAGTGACACCAATACAGTGATCAGTGCTAAACAAAGCACTGACACTGTACTAATGGCACTGGGCAGGAAGGGGTTAACATGTGGGGTGATCAAAGGGTAACTGTGTGCTCTTTTACAACATGGGCTGTGTGTGTGTTTCACTGTAAGCATGCTGCTTTGTATGGCTCTGCTATGCAGAGCCATACAAAGCAGTGTGCAGGAGCTGACAGGGGAGAGTGACACCCATACCAGTGATACCAATACAGTAATCAGTGCTAAAAAAAAAGCACTGACACTGTACTAATGGCATGGTGCAGGAAGGGGTTAATGTGAGGGGCAATCAAAGGGTTAATTGTAAGTGCTGGGAGTATTTTACTAGGGGGCAGGGGGGGGGGGGTGTGCCTTACTGTAAGCACACTGATCGGGATGGCTTTGCTGTGCAGTGTGCTGGGCAGGAAGGAGTTAATGTTAGGGTGATCAAAGGGTTAACTGTGTGCTGGAAGTGTTTTACTAGGAGGCGGGGGAGGGGGGTGCTTTACTGTAAGCACACTGATCGGGATGGCTGTACTGTACAGTGTGCTCGAGCTGAGAGGGAGAAAGATTGTTTGTAAACAAAACAATCTTCTTCCCCGTTGGAGATGCTCTGTAATCTCCCAGGCGCACTGGCGGGTAATTATTGTCCGGGGCCCGGTGATTGACAGCCACAGCCGCAAATGGCGACGCAGGTAGAGCGTGCGTGCGGCTCACGCGTGCCCCCTACCTGGAGATGCAAAATCACATATACAGTATATATATACAGTATATATATATATATATACATGATTTTGCGCACAGGTGCTGCCCTGTAGCGGCATATATGCTATAGGGCAGCCTTTAAGCCAGACATGTCCAAAGTCCAGCCCACGGGCCATTTACGGCCCGGGGGTCGGTTTAATACGGCCCTCCAACAGCCCTCCCTGCTCTGTGTAATGTGGCCCTCCCACGGCCCTCCCTTCTATGGCAGACAGTCTTCTGTTTGAGAGCAGAGGGCAGTGCGCATGCCTGACTGCGGCGCGTTCTCCCTGGTCTGTGTAAATGCGGCTGTCGCACGGCCCTCCCTTCTGTGGCAGACAGTCTTCTGCTTGAGAGCAGTGCGCATACGTGACTGCGCCGCGCTGGGAGCGACAGTGTGGGCGGTGACGTCAGGGCCGGGCTTCCAGCGTGAAGTGTTTTCTCTTCCACTCCCGACTGCCGAGCAGAGACTTCAGGTCCAGCTACCTTTTTCACCCTTCACATTAGTGCAGGTAAGTTTTTTTAAAATTTATTTTCAATACATTGTGAAAATCAGCTGTCAGTTGATCTTAATGTTCGAAAAATGTTCGGCCCCTCCCACCATGTTCACTTCATCCAATCTGGCCCTCTTTGAAAAAAGTTTGGACACCCCTGCTTTAAGTGGTTAATATAATAGCTACTAGAGAATATATCACACGCATGTAAAATGTCAGGTCAAAAATTTTGCCTAAAGGTACAAATTCCTGAACAAAGATGGTGATGTCTTTCTGAAGAGAAAAGAAGATGAATGCATTGCTGGGGGGGGGGGGGGGGGGAACTGTGATACCTGGAAGTGTGACATCCACACAGAACACAGCATTCATGAACAAGATATTTAATGGCAGTTTCACTTTCAGTCCTAGCAGTGTGCATTTCCCCTGAATCCCTCCTCCAATGATCATTCCTGCATTCACTAACATGCACCCCAAAATGTTTAGGGATCCTTATTAAACTGGTGGGAGATAAACATGGCGGCAGCTGCGGAGAAGAGCAGGAAAATGACTCCCCCGTTGTTCGGAGAGGTAATGCTGTTTCCTCCATTGTTGAGATTGGTACTTTCACAAGTAAAGTGAATTACAGAAGTCGTATAGTTTATAGTAGAGGAAAGGTTTTGAACATCGCACAGGGATTTGGTACCGCATCCTCGCAATGATGAAGTAGAAGAGAAGATTCCTGCAGGAGAGAATTTTAACAGAAGTGAGATTTACCTCCTGACTTTCATGAAAGTAGATGAATGACATTAGGCTTGTTAAAATGTATCATATACAATTGACTTTTGTTAAATGCTGTTTTTTTCCATTTTTTATTTTTTGTTCCATCTCAGTGCCGCTGATCCCCTGCAGCTATGACCTGTCTACATGCACTCCAGCGATGGCTGTGCACTAGGGTACATTTATTGTGTATGACTCATGGTAACTGTGTGAGTCTGTAATTAAGTCGGGTTACTGCAAGTCAGGCTGGAAGGCTTAACAAAATAAAGAAAAACAGGTGGCGTACACACCTAGTGCATTATCCAAGGTTTATTGAAAGGTATAAAAGATAAAAACATACTCACAGACGAAGCATGTATATAAAAAGCTTTTGCATTTAAGAAGATGGCCACGCTGACGCGTTTCGGGGACGAGTCCCTTTCCTCAGAGCTGCTGACCAGCCTCTTAGACTAGTACAGATGTGTAGTGTATGAGGAGGACCGATGCTTAGAACACCATTCCTGAAATACGTCAGCCATTTGACCGCACTGACAGTTGGAACACCTTGCTTGCCGTTGTGGCCATCTTCTTAATGCAAAAGCTTTTTATATACATGCTTCATCTGTGAGTATGTTTTTATCTTTTATACCTTTGAATAAACCTTGGATAATGCACTAGATGTGTGTGCCACCTGTTTATTCTTTATCTAGTGGCTGATCTCCCCGTCCTGCACCCCTGAAGCACCTTCTTTTGGTTATCTCTGTCCTGGTTCCCTTGGCTTCACTTTGGCTGTCCATTGTCTGAAGCGCTGGAGAGTACATATGATATCTGGAAGGCTTAACAGGTTAGGACTCTATCGCCTCCACCTGGTTCTGGAGGACCATGGAAGCTTTCAGAATTTAGTGAGCGGAAGGGGTGGAGGACCTTATATGAATGTTTATGGGAGTCTAACCAATCCCTGGTTTGGAGGCCCTGGTAGAGTGGTGTGGCCAACCCGTATATATGGGAGAGTCAGGCTAGCAGGGGAGTCAGGTGGAAGATGGGGTACTGAGGAGGCTGCTGGTGACCTGGCAGGAGTCCTCTAGGTTGAGGGTGGGGGGGGGTCTGGCCTCCAGGCTGGGCTCTTGTTGGCTCAGGAGGATCCATTTCTATTCCCAGCAGATGGGTTAACCTAAAAATTTGTTCAATTATATTTTTGTAAGTTTTCTTCACGCTGCCTTTACTTTTTATTGGAGACTTGCTAAGTAATTTCTTTTCACGTCTTCCATCATCAGTTTTTTTTCTGCAGCTTTCCACATTCAGGCACATGGCATCTCAGAGCCACAAAGAAAATAGTAGTGGAAGACTTGCCTCTGCCAGATTTTGCAAATGCAGATTTGAATAGTGAGCGGGATGCTATGTAACGCCAAGCATGCGTCACCGAATTCCAGTCCCTCTCAGACTGAGTGTCAGACTTTCCCAGCTTGATATCTGACTTGTAAAGAGGCCTCCAGACCAGGGGCGGACTGACAACTGATGTGGCCCCCGGGCAATAGGGGATCATGGGGCCCCTGTGTCCTTGCCCAAACTCAAAAAAGCCTATGAAAAAGGTACCAGGGGCATCTCATGGGGCCCCCTACTGACCCCGGGTCCTCGGGCAGTGCCCGAGTTTCCAAATGGTCAGTCCACCCCTGCTCCAGACCTACATATTATTTGTACTGACCCATGGGGCAAACACTCACCAGCGAAGTCCTACTCTGGTCCTGTGTAAGCTTAAAGTCAATATTGGTTGGAGTTCACACAAGGCTTAGAACTCTCTGAACACCTCTATATGACAGAACTGGGCCAATGACAAAACACTAACACTGTTTCATGGGAGGGTAGGGAGTGAGTGATGTCCTTGGTCATTATTTCCCACCTTGTTCTGTATTACTGTGAGATAAATCCTAACACACTAATTAAAAAAAACATTATTACAGAACACATTTGCAATTGCAATAAATTAAGTTATTATCAAATGTATATGAAATTACCCATTGTGTTTGTGTTTTGAAAGGTCACACACTGAGCCTCGTTTCCAGTGCAGTTCATGGTGGTGTTAGTCTCACAGGAGCTGGAGTTCATAGATCCGCATGTTTTGCATTGCACACCATTTGCTCCTGTGCTTGTAGATGTTACTTAAAAATAAGAGCAAAGAACACAGTTACAATACAGTTCAAGACGAAAAGGTTAGGAGGCCCTGCTCAGGAGAGCTTACAACTTGGGGATGAGTTGTTCAAGAACATAAGATCCATTTACTAGCTAGTGGAGGGATAGGTTTGCCTGAAAAGATGAGCTTTCAGGGATTGTCTAAAGGCAGGAGTAGGTGATGACCTGACAGATTGGAGTTGAAATTCCTAGGATGAAGGAGGCTCTGGAGAAGTCCTGCACACAAGTTTGGGAAGAGTTAACAAGGCTCTAGAGAGCAGGAGGTATTGGGGAGGAGCACAGAGGACAGTTTTGTTGATTTTTTGAGATGATGTTGATGATGTAGCTGGAGTTGTGGATGACTTTGTAAGTTGTTGTAGAATTTTGAATCTTATTTGTTGGGTAATCCAAATCCAGTGTGGAGATTGTCAGAGAGGTAGAAGATACTGATTGGTAAGGTCGATGAATCTGGCAGCAGCATTCATATTAGACTTAGAATAGCCTTTGTAGAGGTAGGCAAGTAGTAAAGAGATGCAGTAGTTGAAGTGAGAGAGAACAAGAAGTGAATGAGAAGCTTGGTGTCGTTGGTTAAAAAGAGGTAAATACTGGAAATGTTGTGGTGGTGAAGAAAACAAGATTTGGACAGTGATTGGATGTGGGGAAGAGAGGAGAGGTTGGATTCCAGGATTGCACCTTGGACACTGGTAAACTGGAAGGAAGGAAGGATCATTGTTCTTTTAATATCAATGGCAAAATCTAGGGAACAGGTACAGGGGGAGGGGGATATTATGAGCTCAGTGTCTAAAAGACTGAGTTTTAGGAAGTTGTTTGACATTCATACTGATACTGTATTCGTGAAATATAAGGAGACTGAGGGGGTGAAAGGAGGAGTAGATAGATAGAGTTGGGTGTCATGAACATAGAAAAGGTAATGGAAGCCATGTGAAGTTATCAACTGACCAAGGAAAAAGATGCAGATAGAGAATAGAAGGGGTCCTAGGACAGAACACTGAGGATAGAGGAAGAAAAGAGGAGGAGGTAAAGGAGCACTTAGATAGGTAGGAGGAAAACCAGGAAATAGGAGAGTCTTGAAGACCAAGGGCGTACATTTTTTTGAGGAAGAGCAGGTGGTCAGCTAGGTTTAAGGCAGCAGAAAGGTCTATTAGTGAATGTACTGAATATTGGCCATTGTGTTTAGCACTTAGCAAGTCATTAGTGAGCTTTAGTAGAGCAGTTTATGTAGGACGCTGTAGGAAAAAAACAGACTGCATCAAGAAGATTGTAATCAGTGAGGTAGGAGCTTAGATGATTGTAATCTAGCAGTCTAGGAGTCTGGAGGTAAATGAGAGAAAGGAGATGGGTCTTAGGCTCTTCATACTTGGGTATTTTTTAATTATAGGGGTGAACAATTCATGTTTCAGAGGCAAGTAAGCCATCCCGTTAGGATGGGAGTGTAAACAGAAGTGGCTAGGTCAGGGCAGGGAGATATGGTCACAGAGGTCATCAGTAGA